TATCTGATGTATATAAGAACTATTGAGTATATGGAATCCAACCACTGGATCAAGATACACAGCTGGCAAGTCAATAGCATAGAGACAAACTGCTTCAGAGAATGTTTATCTTAAATACCTGAAGCTGTTACTGTACAGTAACCCCACATAAAAATTAAGTATAGTTAGTAGTTATGATAAAATGGAGTTCAAACTAGAAATTCACCAAAAACATCTGAAACACCTTGGAGAACTTATGCCTGCTTTTGCTCTTTAAACCAAGGAATGTTTAAGATTAAGAAGGTCAAAATAATAGAATTCCAGTTGCATTCCAACAGTAGCAGTTTTCCAGTATACTCTTGATGATTACAGTATGAAAATAAATGTCAGAAACTACATCATTTAAGAGAATATGTAGGGATCTTTTTTACTTTAATAAATAACTATGAAAAACACAAAAACCAAATCAATAGTTTTACTGGTAGTCAAAAATGAAGAGACATGAGACAGTCGTTCCTCAGATAATAATCTATCAGCTTTAACAAAAAATATCTAAGGAGATTTCCTCAAGGGTATTGATTTTTTTTTTCCCCTGCCCTGACTTAAAATATTTACTTATTACCAATCTGCCTCAGACTCTTTTCAGGGTAGGCTTTTAAACTCTTACCTCTGTGGCAAGACAGAGCACTAAGATGTAAATGAAGTTTATTCAGAAGGGTAAATGTGGTAACTAGTGTCCTTTCAGTGACTTTACAGTGACTCATTCTAGACTTTCAAAAAACACATCACTAACATCACATATCACTACTGATAAGAGAAAAAACATTTCCTGTAATTTGAAAAGATGGAAACAATTTCTTTACTCAACAGTCAGTACTTGGAAAACTTATTAAACAGAGGCCATAGAAAGGCTTCATTCTAGTGAAATAGTGCTAAAAGTTTTAACTGTGGGAGAGAGAACTAGCACAATCATGGACTTCCTTTACAGTTGTTCTCAAAGCAGCTCTGACACGGTTAAGTATGGGTAAATGTGACAATTCTCCGAATCTGCCAGGAAACACACCAAGAAGGAAGTGATGTTACCCCCCTGACCAGATCAACCTAACCAACAGACGAGTTTTCCTACTGAGATTACTCACATGTAAAACTAATTTTCTATAACAGAAATGTGCTCTGTATCTCCACATACCAAACTAGCCATGGACTATTTTAGGAGGGTAGCAACAAGTCAGTAATTTGAATGGAAATGGAGAGAAACAGATTAAAATGCAGAAGAGAGTTCCACAGTTTTCCCAGCTCTGTTTCCCCAGTGTCCATGCTTCACGGGCACCATGCTTATCTTGGCCAGCTGACATTAACTGATAACTGCAGCTTAATTTAACCTTGCCTGAATTTAAAAAAAAAAAATTTTTTTTTCCTCCCCCTCACTTTTAGCCTGTTCTGCCTTCAACTGTTTCAAGGAAAGCTTAAAAAAAACTAACAGCAACAAAAACTCTACCAGTGTTGAATAACCAACAGGACCAACTATACATGACCAGAAGGAACACCTGCTCTTACAGACCAGAAAGTGGGGCTTGGTAGAGATTTAGTGAGGCTTGGAAGAGATTTTCCTGAGAGCTATAAGGGAGTGTAGAGACAAACCACAAGTAACAGTATTTGAAAGGCTGATATTAAGGAGTTAGAACATTTGCTTGTTGCAGTTTGTAGCTATTACATCAGATCAAGTAATAACAAGAAAGATTTATTCTTTGAGGAAGCAAACCCAGGAATTTACTGATGGACTACAGGCAGAAAGAGCAAATATCCATTCCTTGGTCTTGGAGGAAAAAATGGCTGACAAAGGACACCTTTGCTTATACACAGCTTCAAGGTTTTTCTCCATCACTTCTGTGAATTAGGCATTCTAATTACGTTATCGTTAAGGAATGTCTCAGACTTTTGAGTAAGAATGCCCATGGATTATTTTTGCATTTCAACACATTTACACAGAAGTCTAACAGGTCAGCATCAAGATCAATGTCTAAGATAAAATGACATTCAAAATACATAAATATAACTAAATATTTATAATTGAATCGCAGCAAACTTGCTACAAAATTACATCTACTATTAAATGATAAAACTACCTCCTTCTCCTTGTCATTATTACTAACCAAAACTAAGAGTGACCTCAAAATGTGATTTAAATCTAGCATTTGTGTATGTCAGAACAGTTTATATGTGGGAGTAGTGATACTCTGCAAAAGTTAATGCCAATGTCTCACACCTACACCTACACAAACATTTAAAAAGAAAAATCCGATTTAAGTCAGGCATTGCTATGGACCATGTGGACCTTGCACTGAATCCCTATGTTTTCCCTGCTTCCTACAGAATCACCATTTTCCACACACACATACACAAAAGACAAAGGTTGTGTGGTAAGTTTCATCAGCTTCAGAATAATCAAAAGCAGACTTATGATGCCTCTTACTCAGCATAATCACTTTGAGACATCCACGCGCCAAGATTAGTTACATGCACTTTATATTAAATGTTGTGTTTCAAGTCATTAAGGCAAGCCTCAATTAAAAGGCCCTCCACCACTGACATTGGGTCACAGCATTCCAGCAGCAAGCTGAATGGAAAAGAATGAGGCAGCTCTTTCTCTAATGAGAAAAAAGTTATTCAGTACCTCATCCCCATATTGAGACTTGTTGTTTCCTTAAAAAACAGGTTTTGTTGAAGCAGTAGGATCAATAGTTTGTTTTAGCTTGCTGGCTTTGGAAGTAAATACTTCACAACTCCAACTTTTGTTGTTGTTGTTGCAGATGCTTCAGACGTCTTTGAGCCTGAGCACCTGAAAGGAACTTTGATCTTAAGTTTCATATTTGCTGTCAAAACATCAGTCAAATATCTGTGCAAGGTTCTATAAGCAGAGAGAATCTTCCACAGCGCAAGAGAAAATTTTCAAGACAAGTCTGCAGTGTGAAAGAAGACATAAAAGGAATTTATTTCCATTAAACCACTGCTGTTTTAAATGTATGTATGAAGTTAACACTCAAAACATGTATTGCACAATTACACAAGCTATATTTCAGAACTACTACAAGCTTGAGATCAGTAGTTCAAACTCTAACACGGAAACTCCTAGGTACATACTGCAGCCACAGAATGACTTCATGCTCTGACTATACGCAAAGTGCAGTCATTGTCATTTGTACAGAAAACAAAGGATCTTGAGGCTACAGATGAAGAAATCACTAACAGGTGGTCATCTAAGGTGACAAAAAAAGACTGGAACTTGAAATGCACTTCAGTAGGAGACAAAAGAAAGCAACCTAATTGTGAAAAGTAGAAAAAGCTAAAGATGGCATCAAGCAAAGAAGTGACTGTGAAAAGGAAGGAGAGAGAAACAAGTGAATGAGACAGTGAAATATCATGACAAAACAGGGGCAGTGAAGTCCTTGCATGTATAAAGCAGACTTACAAAAGACTTACTTACCCTTCTGGCACCTACATTCTTTAAATGCCCATGATATGATAAAAACTGTATAATTTGACACTCACAGCTTAGGCAGAAGTATGGAAAGGGAATAGGAGAGAGCTATAAGAGATTTGTTTACATAAAAAATTCTAATTCAGTGAAAGAAAAAAAACCAACAGATTGTTGTATTCTCTATTTCACAACACCAGATCTACTGTGCTTTCTGGAAGATCCATTTTAGCCAAAGTTATCAGGATGGCATTTAAAGCCTGTGTTACAGTAGAAAAAAGCAAAAAAGTGCAGGTGGTTCCTCACCTGCAAAACCAGATAGTTTGGAATGAATAAAACAATTATTTTACAGACAGATTGCTAACATAGAAGACAAAGCCTGACCTGAATTCAGCTATTCTCTTACTATCTTTCTAGAAGATAACTGAGTCATATGCAATCCTAACTTATCTAAGTAGTTCTAATGTACTCATCACCGCATTATCTAAGCATTATGTGATCAACTGATTGCTTTATCTTTTAATAGATTTAGTGCCTGCTTCACTACAGGAAAAAGTATTCAAACTGAAATTCTTTATGGAAACTCCATCAAATTTATTTGTACAGTCATCTACATAAATCAAGTTGATCTTACAGAAACAATATGCAAACACGTTACTTGACATGTTCCTCATGCTGTTAGCAAAATGGTAACCAAGAGTTAAGAAACAAAAAACTGTTTTATGAAGCAAGTTCATACCATACATGAAGATTTTGAAAAAATACAAGTAGTTGAACTTTCACACCGTAAAATGAAGTCATCTTGAAGGAGAAATTTCAGAGGGAAATCAGACACTAGCACTGCCAGTTTAAGAGAAAAAGAAAGGAAACTAGATAACAAGCAGCTTTGAATCCAGGATTAATAACCAAGAAAACCTTCACAGACAGACAACAAAATTCAGGTAGGGAAACAGTGTGCAAGTACATGAATGACAGTCTGCAGTAACCCATCAAGATTTCTCCTAGCCAAAAAAATAGAAATCATTTATGATTCTCTCATTATGGGAGCAGTGGGCTCAAGACAAAAAAAATTGGAACAGTACAAGGGCTACAGAATGCATCTTCAAATCCTACAGTGATACGCAGCATTAAATAGAAGTATTGGTTTAAGTAAATAATGGAGGTACGTTTTAGAACAAATCTAACTCTGATCATAGCAGAAAATTACATGCAGACAGGAATGTCTGCCAAAATCAAAATGTGGGTTTTTTTAATGGTATGCTTCCAACCTGATACAGCATTGAAAATTACTCATTACAAGTAAAAACAAAGAAGTCACATGGTGCTTGTACAGAAACAATTATTAAAAGCTCACCAGTACGCACAGAAGGTAAACGTAAGGCCTTTGCTTATAAAGGAGGCACACTATACAAAGACAGCATTATCCCACTTTGCCAAGTAGTGTCTTGCTCACAACAGGTCAAAAAAAGAAAGAAAGTGAAGGACAGGAAAAAAGGTACAAGAAGGAGGAGCGTGAAGACACACGTTTCATATGAGCATGTGTTACCTGGATTTCTAATTCAGCAATGTGCTGCTGGAGTTCAGCCACAGCTGCTATGCGGTCTGCCTCACGGAGCCGCACTGCCATCACTTCTTCTTTACTCTGGAAGAATAAATTAACGACAACCCATAATACCAGTTTCAATCAATAACTGTGCATTTTTTACTCAGAACTACATAAAGAGAACTTACGCTGCTGAAGAGTACCATGCCTACTGATAAAGTATATTCTAAAGAAACCCCCTCCCCTTTTTTTTTTTTTAAATTCTGTAGTCCATAGAATTCTGTAAACATCTAATACTAATTCCAAACTACAACCACCTAATACCTGTGAAAAATATTGTCCACAAAGGTCCAGGTCCAAGAAACAGATACCCTTTGTTCTAGAAACACTATAATGTAAATTAAGAAAGAGGTATGGACAATTCTTCAGAGGACCACATTCTTCAGCTTCTCCTTTGTGAACAGACAGCAAAGACACACTGAAGTTTCACCTTATTTCACCTTTCTCTAAAAACAAATAAGAAGAGATATACTCAACCTCATTTATGTTCAGCTGTCTTAGTGACAGTATAGAACAAAGACCACGTAGGATGAAACTAATGCCTGTAACTAATGAACAGATTCCTGCTGTAAGTTTAACAGTGATTTGCAATTTGAGTTTTGATAAGAGAAGGAAGTTTTTCTACTTTCTGTTTTATTGAGGTAAGCCCTGAAGACTTGAGAACACAAATCTACCAGTGTTATATTGTCACCAGCTTGGTACAACCACAGGGAAAAAAGGGATACATAATGAGTCAATAATACTTCCAGGTAGAGTGCAACATCTGGAAAAGACAGGTGAGTCCCAGGTATAGCATCCATGGCAGAATGGTGGAACTCCACAAACTATAGTTACTGTAGGTAAGTTCAAGTACCACAGTTATTTTAATGTGTACTTCATTTAACGTGTACTTCTAATTCACAATACTTGCTACTCTTACTTTTTTAGACAATTTGATTGAAACTGAATTTAACTGCCAAAACTTGTCCACAGTAGCTACATGAAAAGATGCTGTATGTTTTAAAAAGAGCCCTGTAATTAAATCACACTTTCTGCAGTACCTAATTAGCAGAATTTGTAGTCACCTAATTCCATTTTAGAGGAACCCAAAGTCAAAGCTCAGCCATTATTGCTAAATTCTACTGTGTGACTGCCTGCATGAAGCCAAGTCCACAAGCCTACAGGATCATATGTAGTCAACTGCAAGCTGACTCTCTTTGGCTTGATTTGACTTGAATATCTGAGATGAGTCAGTAGTGTTGCTCTAGATGGCACTGACACTTTATCACTGAAACAAGGCATATGCTCAGTTAGTACCACAGGATTTGATAGGAAAGACAACTGGGGTGAGGACATAGTTCTTTTGTTGTAGGTCCTTTAACACAGCTGATTAGAGAGATTATTGCTGTGTTTCAAATAAACTGTTTGAGATGAAGTTCTTGCTGTAGAGGTAGCAAACATAAAAAGCCACGAAGTAGTACACAGCAGTGACAGAAAACAGAAAACTGCACAGGAATGAGATACAGCTTGCTACACAAATTTCAATTTCTACTTAAGTATAAGATACTGTTTCAAGAGAGACAAGCTGCAGAATTTACTACTAGGGGTTTTTTTTGTTTGTTTTACACAAGAGATCTGGGGAGTTGAAGATGTGTTACAAGGACTCACTTGGATTTTTAAGTACGAATATTGTTACATGGCAAAACCTCAGTGACAAACAACACTAGAGCAAAGCTTCACATTTCTTGAAATGACAGGAAGAAAAAAAATACTCAAACATCAGTTTCCAGGGGACTCAGGGGACGAAAGAACTTCACAAATGCAAAGTGGAAATACAAGTGTAGCTTAAAATACTTAGTGCTACATAAGCTTAGCATTTGTATTGCTCCATTATATTATATGAAAGACCACTGAGACTGCAGTTTTGATTATGCATCAGCAACATGTTATTTTAACTATTTTAAGTATTTACAGAGCAAAATTATTTTTTCAATTCAACCTACTCTATATTCTCTATATTCCAAGCCAAAGTCAGTAGCAACACTACTTAGCACAGTGCCACTGAAACTACTTTTGTTACCTATAGGTAGGACAAGTGCTGCTACTGCTGTAGCTTCATTTTCCTTATGGAAAGAACTAAGGGAAACCAGCAAAAAGTTGCCAATTACAAATTACACAATATGGCTTTGATTAGCAAAGACAAGATGAAATTTTACTACAAAACTGAATTGATTACATTGATGCACTACCTTGAAGAAAAAGGATTACAAGAAGAAATCAAGTCTGTAAAAACAATATATTATAGGAAAATTATGCATAGAGTGCCAATTCATCTTCAGACTTCGCAGCTTTGCAACAAGCCACTCACTACACTCTTGACATTGTTAAAACAAAACACATGTACATTGGAAAAAACGTGGAATAAACACCCAGCTGGTAACTGTGTTCTGTATGAGCAAAAAAGAGAAACAAATGTCTGGATACACCATGGACACAACTAAGATATGACCAACTTACATTATGTAACAGCATCTGCGCTCAAGTTGCTAAATCTGCAACGGCAGTACAACAGGCAGCATTCATTTTGTTACAGGATGAATGTTAACACACAACTCATCTATTTAGAAATTACTGGCCACTCAGCGCCAGCTGATTTTATAAAAAACTCCGCAAACATCTTTTGGAGACAGAGTGAAGTTGAAAGTTGCTTTACTGTCTCCAGTACATTAGGTCTTAATTATAGCAATTTCCAACTAAGACTGCACTTTGAGAGAAGTATCAACAGTCGTTTCAGGAAAAGTTTCATCCAAGTTAAAAGAAAACCTTGTAGGGCTTATCCTTTACTGCCTTTCCATATTGCATGTACATGACTAAAAGAGAAATTATTAGGGATCGGTTAAGTACTTAGTTATGAAACTAAGTCTGGGATGAAAACAACAGGTAGAGCTCTGGTGCACTGATGGAATTGAACACTTTCTTGCCCAGTATTTTTAGGCTGATCTCTTACAAGCAGTTTACTGTTTAGGTAGTGAATACCCTAACGCTCTTCTCTGTGCATTTTTTCCATTCAAAGACGGTTTTTACTGCCATTTCTGAACCCAAGCTAGTTCTGCAGTAATAGCACTGAAGTTGTCTTCTGTCACTAAGACAATCAGAGCACATAGCAATCGGAATCTGTTGAGCAGAAGAGTGTCTTTTTACTCATTTCACACAGACAGCAGTAGAGAGTAAAGCAGAACCACACTTTGAAGTCAAAGTTTATCTTTGTGAGACCACAAAGGAACAGCTTTGTCAAAACCTCAAATGATTTTGAGATGGTAAATTTAAGATGACATTGTCAAACTGGAAAATAAATTAGTAGTGGAAAACACTACAAATTACAAACACAGAAGCATGCAAATTGTCTATTCATGTTGTTTACCTTACATTCAATCTCCGCTTGTCTACGTTTTGCTTCATTCAGCTGAGCAAGAAGTCCTTTGTTCTGTGCAGTAAGATACTGTACCTTCTCCTGCAGGCTGGTGACCTCCAGCTCTGCCCTTCGCAAATGGTTATTATTGATCTGACTCTGACATTTATGATAAGGAAAAAAAAAGAAAGCACATCAATAAGAGATGTTTCATATTAGTTTACCTCCCTAAAGTCTGACAAGACAGACTTGACAGATCATTTGCTATAAAAAAAAACTTGATGGAAAACATTGAGAATTTTTTAAATGAAGTCAAAAGTTTGCATGACGTTTGTTTTTCACAACCATGATATTTCAAGGGTTCTTAAATAGAGAATTCACTTTAAGAACAAGAACGTAAAGTTGCTGTACACATTTCTACTCATCTTGCACTTACGTAAGTCAAAGGCTTTGTGAACGTGCACCCCAATTACAATTACTAGCTGGTGCAACCACAGAACATCAAGTATATCAGAAATACTATATGCACACTTCTTTAACCACTGAAATCCTGGAAGATCAGTGCTTTAATACAAGACATTTTTTACAGGAGGCTGTGCATAGATCAATACAATCTGAGAACCACTGCATTTGTTTCAAATGACAGCTCAGCAACATAAACACAGACTCAATGCTTAACACTGAAGCAAGAGCAACCTAGAGGTCTTGAGGTTATTGCATGTAACCCAGAGTGCAGGATACCTATGCCCCCTACTGACTAAAACAAATAGAAAGGAAAAACAACAAAACATACATCAACAGTATTTACGTTTAAATACAAGTTTTAGAAGGCACAAAAACACCTTTATTCAGTTAGTGTAGAATAAACTGGTGCCTCTATCAGTAGTAAGCTACCACGTATTGTATAGCCATTCTCTCCCTCTTCAATACCACATCTTGATACATGGGAAGATTTCTCAGAGACCTGTTACAAACACTTATCAATCAACAGCACGTTCAATATCAATTCAGTGGAGAGCTCACAAATTAATATGAATGTACCAATTGTACGTTGCACTTTCAGATTTGACCACTTAACTTGCACTACAGTTACAAAAAAAGGATCTTAGCAGATAAGTTGTTTCTTGCCTATTCTGCACATTTCAGTAATGCTAAAATACACTTCTTAGCAGGTGAAAGGTAAAGCTTCTGCTGAAAAGTGACAATAGGCTATTGTTACACCAAGATTCCTGCTTAGTAACCATATTCAGGCTTTCAGGAGATGATCTAGTACTGGCAATTTCACAAGAAAAGCACTGTTACTTTAAGACTTGAAATTACAATATGTGAATCATCAATTAGGTAAAGGTTTGTGAAGGTGGAAATACCTTAAGCACACTTTTGTTAGCATCCCAGTAACAACTGAACAGATAAGGATTCACACACATTCAGAGTTTACCAGTTAATCCAAGTAAGAAATTGTGAAAGCTTAGTCCTGTAAGGGGACATTAAAGTATGCTAGATTGATTGTGTGCACTTGATTCTCCCTCTCAATCTAAGATACAAAGAAAAAAGCAGTTAAAAAAGAGACTATGACATCTTAGAGCTAAAGTCATCCCCATAAATGGTACAGACCATTAAATGGTATTGGCCATCTGATGCTAGTCTGGCAGCATTCTGGTCAATTCATATGCTAAATATCATACCTGTGTTTCCATCTCCATCATTCTTTGTTTGGTTTCTTTCAATTCAGCCTGAGTTTCTGCTTCTCTCAGTCGGACTGTCATCAGCTCATCCTGCAGTTCATTCACTGTATTTTTTCTCGGAGGATCTTTCCACCTCCCAGTGGTGCGAGCTAGGTGACGCTAAAAAAACCCACATCATTGCTGATATCTCATCTTTCCTGGTGTTCTCTAATTTCACTTAAGTAATCTCCTTTAAAGAACTCCTTGATGTCTCAGCTGTACAATGCCAAGTTGCTCAAAATGCTACTTTTAGGTCTAAAAATCTAGAAATCTATACAAGTTTTAAGAATAGAGCATTAAAAAACCGAAGGCGGTGATTCCCAACTAGATTAAGTCACAGGATTTCAAATACATCCTGAAAAAGAGCTTTTAATATTTACTGAAGTGGAAGTAATGATGGGATATTTCCTTTCTACCAGGATGGCTGGTTGTTAGTACAGGCCTTTGTCATCTGCAACAGCTAGAGAACAACTTCCAACATACTTCTGATGTTAGTGATATTTTCACAGTCCACAGTCACTAGTTCCTACTTAACATCTCAAGATTTTCTTGCCTTGTCATCATCCATTAGAAAAGAAGAAAAAGAGAAGAGTCTCTTGGTGCCCATACCTGCCAGTGTTCCTCCAAGTCTTTGACTTGCTGCCTTAGTTCTTTGAGACCCATCAAAGCTTCTGCTTCTCTGAGTTTCACTGCAATCAGTTCTTCTTGTAGTCTAGCAACATTTTCCTCATCAGGGAGAGCACTGTTCCTCTGGAACAAGGAACATCCTCTTAAACATGCATCTGAACAAAATATTGCTTAGCAAGATCCACTCCAAAACAAAAATATGAAAACTCCTATTGCTAACCAAAATTTCTTAATACATCTCTTATAAAGTACCTAAAAATATATCTAATGACTACAAGTATATTTAAATTGTCCATTTCACTGCATATTATCCCTCCCAAAGATTATTTACACTACTTTTGGCACATTAAAAAGAAAAGAGAAAAGATTATGAAATAATTGACAAAAATAAAGCAAACGAGGAACAGAAGTTACACCTTTAGAGTTACAGTTCTTACTCCGTTTTACAGAAAAAAATAAATGGAAATTTAAGTTTTGGGAAGGAGATAATTTGCTTTTGAAAAAGAAAAGGTATGTTGATAAAGAAACTATGCATTAATATTTACTAATAGTCAAGAAAGCTCTTAAGTGAAAGTACATGGATGTATACGAAGACATGAAAAAAGCAGAAAGACTGGAAAGCGATAAACAAAACAGCAATGCACACCACAGAAGTTACTTAGGAAAAGTGACCAAAGAATGAAAGTCTGGGGATAAAGCAAAAACACTAGAAGGGAAGGAGGACAGCTGCCCAGCTAGTTTCCTTTTATTGAATCATTGGTCACCAAACACTCAAAGTTCAATTGTGCTTTATCATTTTCTACTGTACTTCTCAGTTGCAATTTCTAGCAAAATCAAGTATTTAGAGACAGTGCTGGGAAAGCTTCCAGTTTTTCCTGAGAGCTGAGTGTAGTACTTCAACATTAACACAGCAAAGTCACCATTTACTAGCATGTTCCAAATCATGGGCTGTAAGCATTAGCAAATCAAGAAACTAACTGTTTCTTAATGTTTACATTCCATTCTTAATGCTTACAGCCATTCAAGTCTCAGGTTACCGAGCAGAGTTTTTCCAGATTACTGTTAGTGACATGCCACATAAAGAGCTGTATTTATAGAAACTGAGGGGAGTTAACCTGAGTCGCTTTCTCACATGCCTAAGTTCATTAAAGACTAAAATGTTTCTTGACACCCAAAGTTTGCCTGGTACATCATTTTTTCCCCACAACTCCAACATCTTCATATTTAAAGTTTTCAGTATATGCTAACTCCCATAGCTCAAGAAAAGTGGTATTTCTAAATTTTTAGAGAATCATGGGTATGAACCTTCTGGCTGTCCCAGGCCACAATGAGTGGAGAGGGACTGTCTTGGGCAGCATATAAAATAGATAACATAGTTTAAATATACAAGTAATAACACATTTTAAAATGAAATATTAAAACAAAGAGGACAACAAAACAAAACTAGCAGATTGGACATGGATGCTAGATTCTGACCTCTTACCAGTGTAACTACAACACTACTACTCTGTCAGATTCCCAGTCAAGCTCTTTAAGTAAAATCTTAACTAGATGAGTCCTGTGAAGTTAACTCGTAAGTTTTGTCCACATTCTTGAATATGCAGCTTTTTCAAGTTTTCATAGGGAAATAATCTCCCAAAACAACAGAAGAGTGCGCTTTAAATAAGGTCAATTGGATTTTTCTATTTTCTGTGAAGAAAAACCTGACAATAAATTAAGAATAAAGTGCCTGACAGATTGTTTGAATCCAGCTAGAGTTCTGGTGTCAGAAAACTACAAAATGACTGGCACCTGAAAGGCAGCAGAGTTTCATGCTAAGGACAGCAGATACACTTTCCTGCCCATAACAGAAAGTGGGAGATACTCAAGAACAAGACTGGGGAAGGGCAATCTTGAACTCCTCTTTCGTGTCTGCTCCAACTACTCATAACTCCACATCACTTCAAGGCTCACCATAGGCTTGCTACTCATTGCAGAATATAGTTTTGAAACAGCTGATGTTTGCTGTTAAGACCCTACCAGAATTTGCATTTTCCAACACAGGCACAGGAGAAAGCAATCATAGGCCCTTCTCAGTGTAAACATCTTGTTTAGTTTTTGTTACTGTTTTTTGATATTTCTGTTTGGTGTGGCTTTTTTTTTTTTTTTTTTTTTTTTTTTTTTGCTATAATCAACCACAAATAACTACAGGGACCCGCATTCCATCTCTAGAGCTATTTTATACCAAAGATCCTGGGCTTGGTTTACCTTTTCCATCTCTAGAACTTTATCTTGCATCTCCTTCAGGGCACAATGGGATTCTGCTTCACTCAGCCTGGCTTGGACCAGCTCTTTTTCCAGCTGTAGCACAAAGTCTTCACTGTATCGTGAACTGCATTTATGCTACAAAGTTTGCAGAAATATATTTAGTATGAAGCACAGATAGCTCAAAATGGGTGTCGTGTCAGATTTGAAGTGAAAAACCATACATTCAAATGCTTAAGACTAGAAATACTACTTTAAGATACAGAAGGTCTACTAACAGGTCTATCCCCACTGATGTATGTACAAACCCTATTACTACTCTTCTGAAACAACTTCAGCCATACAAGACCAAAGGTACAGGATCAGACTGAGACCCCTCTGAGTACTCATGAGCAACGATTCATGCCTTCTTCTCAATGTTATCTAAACTAGGGAAAAATAAAAATAAAAATGAAGGATCTGTAGCTATTTTGTGGTGTGTTGAAAAAAGGCTTAAGGTTAGCTATTTACAAGGTTAATATGAGGACTTCTCTTGATCCCTACTCAAACTATGATTCAGCAGAAGCCTTCCATAACCTTGAATTTAAAATAAGTCACGTATGCTTCAAAGCACTGTTACTTGGGCTTGCCTCTTTATTTCACTCCAACCTTTAGGCTCCTATTTACTCACAGAATATATATTCTTCCTTGTAATATATTTTTAGGATAAGCCCTATGGCTTCCATGAATTTCTATAAAGCCATATCTTGCTTTGCTTTTGCATCAAACAACTTAGTTTGCTGAGTTAGCAGAGAAGTTTTCAGTTATGTGTGCCGCTATTAGGATATAACATTCCCTGCTTTCACTCACAAACTTCACTAACAGACCAAACAGGAATTTATCACACACAATTGCATGGCCACAGAAGTACTTTCTCATTTTTGTACTTGTATATGCCAACTACATCTAAACCGTATTTGATCAAACTCACCTGTTTACAGATACATTTTTATTACATTTCTTAAAATACACAGGATATGAATCCACAGAATTACAACAGAGGAGTATACACAAAACACTACAAGGCAAACGTAACCTGTGCAAACAGTTTTCAGCATCACAGAGACTGTCCAATTAAAAGTGCTTGACTATTAGCTGCACAGCTGAACGCACCAAGAACACTGCACAAAGATATTAGCTTTTCCTTACACAACACTGATTTAATATGTACTATTTTCAATCTGCATATTGTCTTCACACAGCAAGTAGCAGAGGTAGCCCTGAACTGAAATGTCAGGAAAGGACAGACAGACAATGCCAATGTTTCCAGAATCACTGCATCCGATAGGAGGGCATCCATAGCACATGAAACAATATGCAGAGACACAGAACACGCAACAGCTTTCTTCTTCCTTAGCTGTTTGAACAAGTTTATCAAATGACATAAACAGCAACTTTGATGGAGCGGTGGACTCTGTTTCTTGCTTCAGATTCCACAAGCAAGAGAATAGGAAACAAAAATGAACGCAGCGTGCCTGCTTTGGAGTCCTCTAGACTTTTCAGGAAATGGAGTGGAAATAGTGGATCTGAAGAGCTAAACTCATCCTGATTTGGAAACAACACACGTGAGTAATGTGAACAGTTTTGGACTCACGACTTGTTTTTTAAATCCGCCTTCAGACTTGGCCTACTTAGGACACAGTTAAATGCTTCTAAATGCCTAGCCACAAAGCAAGCACCAAAAGCAGCCATGCCACTCCTTTAAACCCAGTCTTGGCGGATTGGCAATAAAGTATAACCAAGATCAAAATAAATGTTTAAAAATATTCAGAAGCTCAAAGCTGTGATTTTTAATTTTTAAAAACAACTTTAGGTTAAATCACTGACAAATTTATAATCAAATTGATGTTAGAAAATGCTACTTTGTTTGCTAAATATCTGTCTTTATGTGCTTGCCTTAAGCCCTCATATTTGCATCAAAGAACACCACAAATCTACATTTCTGAGCACCATTCCAACCTTTTCACTATAGAAACACTTCTTCTTGATGTATCTTCAGAAGGTGCCTCTATAACCTGAAATACTAAAAACCCAGTTTTACAATCATTTACTCCCAAATTAAATCCTTGTGCTTAGCCTCACATAACTGGATTTATTTTTTTCCAAATTATTCTTTCATATGTCACATAGTAAGATTGCCAAACATTCCTAATATTACTTTTGTAATGTATATAACAGTATCTGTTTGCAAAACACCTTTTCTATACTGCCCTGTTAACTTTGCTTATACATTTGCACACTAACCATAGCACTTCAATGAATTCAGTATTTTTGAAAATTCAGACGTAAAGTATATTGTAAAATAAAGTGAATAAAATAAAGGAAAACCTTCAGTAAGGTTGTGACGTTCATTATAAGTGTATTCTTCCTATGTCAGTTACCACGCTCTTCATTATTAGTAATTCTGGTATGAGTTCCTGAAATGAAACTACTGAGAATGCAGTTGCTGTGACTATAACCAAACATATGGCTACAAGTTACCCAGTAAAATGCATATGCTTTCATCAGAATATTTAGTCAATTAAACTTCCAACTTGTAACACACCTGGAAGGCTTTCTCAATATTAAGAAATAAAGCACTTTTAGCTTCCTGAACTGCCTCTTATTCAGTAAATTCAATTCTCAAGCATTCAGACCGATGATCTGGCTCATCACTAAGAATTCAAGTATTTCTAGGAAAGACTGATATTGTTTTCTGGAGGTATGTTTAATGGGCTGAAATCCTTAGATTATTTGTTCTTATATATCCAACAAAAATCTCTTTTTTAAAAAAATCAGAGAGAAAAAAAAAAACAGCAAAAAAAATACCCCCCCCCCCAAGAGCATCTTAGAACAGTCTCACTGCCCTCACACCTAATCCCTCAAACACCACTGCCCTCAGCATACCTGAGAACAAGGTTTGTCAGGCACAACTCCATCTATACAGATCACAGTTGATCAGCACTACAGAGAAGAAACAAATAGTGTTCCTCTTAATCTCCCAGTTGCCCACCACATGGACAAGTCTGTGGCAGATTTCTCTGTAAGACTGCACTTGCCACAGCAGTAGATTGGTATCGTTTTCTTCAGAGGCATTTAGACAAATGAGCTGAAGCACTGAACTCCAGTAGTACTTCAGAATGGTGTTTTACTTTACAATTGTTTTTCCTAGGTAGCAATACAAGAAAAGTACACACACTGTGCACTCTAAAACCGTTACACTGTTAGTCGCTCCACAGAAAGATGTAAAAGCTAGCATCCCAAGTAAAATGACATGCAAAGTCTCCATCTCAAGCCTTACTATTTCATGCTTCTTTCCCACTTCTGTTTCCAAATGACCTAAAATTTTTTCAGAAATATGTAGAACATATTTGATGACTCTTAATATGCAATTCATTATACGAACATCAGCACAACTTTCAGGTCATCTTGAGATAAGAACTATAGCAGAAATTCCATTACTTATACTGGGAAAAAATGGTAACAAATACCTCTAAATAGATTTAAGTCACTCTGTTTCAACTGAAAACTCCCTACAAATATTGCAATACAGAAAAAATTAAAGCTGCATGTAATTCGGACTTCAGTTGTTGGAATACAGTCAGAAGGATGTTCTTCTACCCATCTCAATCCCCACCCCTAAGGAAAAGTGTCAGAAGGGAGCAATTCTTCAAAGGCACACACATACTCTGTAGGATCTTCAACATTTCTGGTTTTTTTTTTTTTAATCCACCCATTTTGTGCTCTCACAGCACAGCTATAAATACGCCTCAGGTAGCATTTAAACACAAATCATAACTTTTTTTCTTTTTTTTTCTTTTTTTTTCTTTTTTTTTACTAAGGATAGGTTACCTTTCTTACAAATACTGAGGCTTGTTATAGTGTTCATGCTACTAAATACCATGTTGAAACAGAACTCATAACTGGAAGAGATTCAGGCTACCAAGGATGCATGATAGATGCTGTACCTTCAGATGAGGAGACCAGCTATGCAGCCATCTATCAGTACAGTCTGCATTTATTTATTTAGTTATTTTTGCTAACCATGAACAAAATTGAAGTAACTGGAAAAAAAAAAAAACAATCACCACCAAAGCAGCTATGAAGACGATACTGGAAAATGAGCACTGCCAGGAGCCACTGCCACTAGACACTGGTAAGAAGATTTACTGGGGGATTCTGCTTGAAGTGAATACCAGAACTCAGACAGAATGCGTGGCTTCCCACTAGGTGGTGCCCGAGGTGCAGCCACCTGCCGCCCCCCCCCAAGCAGCTCCCGTTGCTTAGGGCAGAAGTTCCACCACCTTAATTCAGTTGCTGTCTTTATCACCACAGCACAATTTCTTGCACTTCAAAACCGTACTGTTTAGTGAGTAAAAACCCATCTGTAATCCCAACACTGCAAACAGCCAGACTATTTCCTACTGTCACTCTCTCACATAAGTGGAGAAAAACAAAGCTGCAAGCACACAGGTTAGGAAGTATGGCTTAAAATTAGTTGTTTACTCTTGCATTGCTTTCTCTCTATTCCTGCAGTACCAATTCAATATCTTGTACCCACAGAATCAATATAGAAACAATTTTGCAATTCAGTTTCCCATATCTTTGCTCAGAACCATTAGGAATTAACAGTCACTAGGACTCCTCCACTAATACGCACTCCAAGAGTATTATTGTTTGCTTCCAAATTACTGTCATAATTAGACAGTAGAAAGAGGAATACTTCTATTCTATGAACATTTGGCATGCTATACATATATACCATCTTTGAAGTGAAATACAACTTCCACAGCCATCATTTTGCCATGCTTATTCCTGAAGAAAATACAACTAAAGTTATCAGCATTACACATTACAGTGTCACAGCTCAATTACAATGCCCAGCAACTATTCCAAAAGATGCATCATTTGTACAGCTGAACACATTAAACAGACATAACAAACTACTGTTGTATCTAAGTTAACAGTAAATCTGTTCTCCACTTCCCAAAAACAAATGCAAGTACCTCCAGAGATTTGGCGCTGAGTAAAATAAACCATTGTGCTGCCCAATAAGGCATTTATTAAGTAGCTGCAGAATGCTTTAGTTCTAAAACATCACGTTTCATGTACCTGAGGTGTCTAGGGCTCTGAACAAGTTTTGTACAAGGCAGTACAGGTATGGTCACACCAACACTGCAAACACATAGCTTACCCACCAAGTGAAGATGGCATAAGCAGCCTCCCTCTATTGAAAAAAGATACCAAACTCCTTGCAAGTGGCTTAGGGAAAGTAACTTCAGCCTCACAGTAATGGTCTAAAGTCTTGCACATTACACAACCTAAAATTCATAGTACATACAAACACAGTATTTGCCAAATATAGCAGCTAACATATTTTCCTGTTCCACCTGCACATAAATCCACACCTTTTAATGAATTCTTGTGCTGTCTCCAAAGCAAGGGATAGCTACTTTGCTAATGTTTTGCAAAAGAAGTAGGAAAGCATGCATGTAACCAGAAAAAACCATCAATATTGAAGCACGCAACTTAAATGAGAAGCTAGGAAATGGCATTATCAACTCTCAAGTTTGAGTATTCAGACAGACGTAGTTCGCAGTGGCTAGAGTTCTTAGACATGAAAAGGTTGTGTGTTGGTTTTGGTTTAGAGTGGTTTTTTGTTTTTGTTTTCTCTTTTTTTTTTTTTAAACTTACATTTATCCAGGGTATGAATTCCATCATCTATCAGTAAGAAGAGATCAAAATAGCATTTAGTCCAATTTGTATACTTCTTAAGAAGGAAAATCACAATACACAAGCATTTGTAAGGACAGCACAGACACCATGTCACAATGAGGAAAAACAAACACAAGTGAATGAAAAACATGAGATGATGTGCTGCCAGGCTCCTTACCCATTGCTGCTGCTGTTGGAGCTCCCTGATGGTACTCTCAGCTTGCTCCAGTTTAGTATTGGCCTCATCACTCTGCTGTTTGATGGTGGCCAGCTCCCGTTTTATGAGGTAGTTTTCCTCAGCCTCCTGGGCCCTTGTCACTTGTCCCTTAGGACATAATTATGTGGGTTTTTTCCCCTCAAAAGCAATTGAGGACAAATCCAAGAAAGACTGCCTTTGCAGTACTCAGGTGCATATTTCGGATTGATTTTGCAAACAGCATGGAATACAATTAGTAGGAATTTTTGGATAATGTAGTACTAAGCAGCTGCTTTAGTACCTTGTTACTAAGCTTGATATCCTTTCAGCAAGCACAATTGTGTACCTGCATTCAATAGAAGTCAATTCATGCAATATTACTCAGCTGTACATGCAAAGATTTAAGTTTGCAATATTCAATTGAAGTGTTAATAATGTCTCAATCCATTTGAAACAAAAATTTCCACCAGAATTACATTAGGTTAGAAAATTATTATAACGTGCAACTACTGACTTTATATTTTTTAATTTTTTAATATATTAAACAACTTTCTAGTAAGAGATTAGCTATATATTTATTCCAAATCAACAAGGTAAGGATAGAGAGCAGCATGCAAGTATGCATGCATTAAAGCAGTTTGGTTTTTCTGAAAGTAGAAAGAGTCATACAGTAAAAGACTAGAAGACTATACCTGTATCAATCTATCTGCCAAGGAAGCACTTTCCTACAAAGGAAAAATTCAGATAGGAATAAGGAAAAGAAAAAATAAAAGAGTGATAATAGTGACAAAAAAAAGACTAGAGCAGAGAAAGAAAGTGTCCAAATTCTACCCATTTTTCTATACAGGCAACTTGTTTTTACAAGTTGAGCTCTTATGTAAGTTAAAGCAACTCAGGCTGGAAATCGCAGGAAGCAGCCTTTTACTGCAACAGATGTAACGAGTCAATCTTTGATACAAGCAGGTACCAAAGCCAGACTACTTCTTTTTTACAGGAGATTGGTTATTTTTCTCTGAACACTACCAAAGGAAGGCATTTCAGCACAAAGGCAACTCCACTAAGCGCACAGACATCCATGCAGAACTAACGCTTCCACAAAGATGAAGCACAGAAATTAAACAGTGCACACTGAAAGACCTAAGTAGAAAATTTCAACTATGACAGCTAATATTTTGTTCCAATGAGCTTTAGCAGCAACTCAAACAGTTCACAGAGTCTTTTCCCTTACTGAAGTACTACAAACAAATGTGTGCAAGCTGACAAGCACTGTATTTCCTCCACCCTGCTAAATGTACAATTTCATTACAGACATCTGCACTCTACCACCCTTGTAAGCACCCAATTTTCACAGATTCGATGGTACTCTATTCAAAGATAGTTAAACCATCCAGAATCTTATAAAAATTCCAAGGACAAAGTTTGAGCTGGTTATAGGAGCTATCAGTTAAATGCAGTAAGGTTGCATCTTAAGGTGTCTGTCATTACAGTATGCTAAGAAAATCACAAGTAAATCATTTGCGAGGATGAGGAAATAAATTTTTACAAGTTCCCAACAAAAGAATTATATGAGGCTTTTTTTTTCTTTTTTCCTTCATGATCTGTTCTTAGATGCTCTGATGACAAGAATTTTGGATGAGAATAACTAATATAGATGATTTTTCATTCTGAAGCTTTTCAATTCCAATCAGACCGGGATATTCTGAAAATGAATCTTGAAATTTTAAACACAGAATTTACAGGCACATGAGCTGTCAGGTGGCTCATCATTGAGTTCCTAGCAAAAAAAAAAATAAAATCAAACTTTGAACCTCTGCAAATCAAGCATAAACCAGGGACATTTACTATTACAAGTCCACAAGAAAAAAACACTAGCATCATTTGCTACAGAATTAAACATATCAGAGTCCGTTCCCTTCAGTTAGCTTTACCTACAAATTCAAGATCTGAAACAACTAGATACATAAAATTTTTGGTCACAACTTCTTTTCACAAGATGTCCCTCACAATGTGCATTTTTTTCCCAAACCACAGTTTAGAAATCACAATTAATCACAATTTGACACAGGCTGTTAAATCTATTATGGTTTCTTGGAGAAACATCTGAAATACAACACTGTTCAATTATTTCAGATAAAATTTAGTCTATCCTTTCCCTCACTGTGAAGCAATTCTTTGTAAGTCATGAACATTCAACTTCATTTGCTGAAAGACAGCTATTATTTGCAATTAAAAAGGGTAAGAACATTCTCATGCTAGAGCACACCTTCCTAGATTCAGTCTGTCACACGAAGCATGATATCAACACAGGAAAGCTAAAGTACAATGCTTGCATGCTATCAGTACATAAGACAAAAGTTATCGTGCACACTTGGACATTATGTCCAGCTACAAAGAAGCCTAACAAAACCCTATTTTAGACTATATCCATGAGAAATTATTTTCCCCAGCCCCCTGTACCTGTAATTTCTACAAAAATTCCAAATCACGTAAGATGAATTAATAGCTGACAGCAGCAGACTTCTGTACTAAACGTGAATGCTGCAACAACATCCCTCTACTGCTGTATTCAGTGACAACAATCTTTCACCTTCACTTCTCTGACCATTCAGAAGCCTGTCATTTTGCTCGTACATAAAAACACCTAGCAACTTCAGATTATCAGAAGTGAGATTCTCTCACAATAATCTCTTTTCCACCCAGGCATTACACCATTTTATGTAGTCTTCTGTACTTTCATACTTCTAGTTGAGGAATAAAATGCTACAGAAACCAGATATTGAAATTGAACATTTCAAATAAGAGCCAAACATTCATAAGCACTGACCTTAACAGCTTTGTTATTGCCATGCTTTTGGCTAAGCACTGTTAGTGAACATTGTAAATCAACCGGAAACAAATAGTAAGTTATGAGACCCATTTCATACAATAAGATGACTAATCGATATAATTAATATAAATAACAGATTCAATTTGGTCACTAGCTTACTCACTTTCTCTAATGTTTCAATGCGCTGTTTTAGGAGCCTATTTTCAGTTCGCAACCTCTGAAATGGAAACAATTCAGAACTTTAGTTCTCAGGTTATGGAAGTCTGATAAAGCCAAGCAGGATAGCTTAAGAAAATGAAAACCAAAACATCTTACCACAGCTGCAAAAAATCAATATGAATACCAACATGAGCAGTGATACTTGTTTTAAACAGCCTTTTCATTTGATGTACTAACTCTAGAGGTGAGTTTTTACAGCTTGACAGAGCAAAGATAAGAAAGGTATTGTGCAATATGAAAGCAACTGTATTGGTGCTATAAGAAGGTCAGTGAACCACAGGGCTTAACCACACAGCACTATTAGCCTCCTCTTCATAATCAAAGCAGGACACAGTCCTCATGGAGAAGGGACATGAAAAAGTAATCCCTCCATTAGGACAAGTTAATGAATGCTACAGAGATTCTCCTTTTCTTCTCAATAAAAAGGATAGTTAATTTTTTTTCTTGTCAGAAACTATATGAACAATTATTTACCTCCAAAGTAAGAAATAGTTGTACTTTTTTTATCTGATGTATTTCATACAAATCTTAACATGATAAGCCACCCCAGCAAGCCCTAATCTCAAGTAAAGAATGCTACCTGTCTACTATTTGTTTACAAGGATAAAAAAATGTGAAAAGCATGGAAAATTTCTGTGCTCCCAGGTGCACGTTCACTGAATTTTTTCTGAAGAACTGTTGTCTTTAAAATTGACATTGAAAGACAAATGACCAGAAAGGTATGGCAAGAAGGAAGGATACAACTCACTCCCTCTAAAAAGCTTAAATGTGAAAGGAAAATACAACAAAAGCTTATTTATGTAACAAAAGCAAGTCAGTAAAAGAACCTAAGCCTGTAGGAGCAGATCTTAACTTGCAGGTTATCCATATCTTACAACAGAGCATTGTGAATGAGGAGCTCTGATGAATGAGGTTGTCTGTAAATCAAAGTTTAGTAGCAGAAACTAACGAGAACTATGTACAGCACATCTCCACTGATTAATGCTCTTCAAATTTGTTCACCAGAAGTTTCACAGTCAAGTGCCCTTTATGAGCAAACAGTCCAATGCAAATGCTGAAAAACAACAATGTGGGAACCTCAGTTACATGTCCAGCCACACGTCCTTCCTTCTAGAATTTAAAGAGGATCCACAAGAAAGCTGGAGAGGGAATTTCTTTCAGAGGCAATAGAAAGAGGATATAGGGCAATGACTTTAAAAGACAGATTTAGATTAGATATTTGGAGTAAATCCTTCATTCAGAGGGTGGTAAGGCAATGGAACAGGCTGCTCTGAGTCACTGTGGATTCTCCATCCCTGGAGGTTTTCAAGGCTAGACTGGATGGGGCGCTGGGCAACCAGATCTATGGAAGGTATCTCTGCCTGTGTCAGTGGAGTTGAAGCCAGGTGATCTTCAAGAGGTCCCTTCCAAAACAATTCTATGTTACACAGATCAGAGACACACAATCCACATCTAAGAACTAAACTTATCTGTAAGTAAATTTATAGAGGCTCTCTTACTTTAATTTCGACTTGTTCTTCCATTTCTTTTGTTTTTATTGTAGTGTATTCCTTCTCTAACCTAAAAAAATAGAAATAGTAAAGGATAATTAGAAATGTTACTGACAACTTAAGGGATCTAATACCTAACAAGCAACAAGAAAATAGATACAGGTTATACTTCCTCTGTTTAAACAACCACTTGAAAGTTGCCAATACAGTCCTCCTGTAAATACTTGGACTGAACATTAAAATTAGTTTAAGCACAGAAATACTTCTGCAGACATAAACAGGCTGGACTACATAGTGAAATGTGGATGCTTGCTTGTACAATCTTTATCAGATACAGATTTGAAATGGCAACGATTTGGAACAACTATAACCACTCAATGCAGTTACACAACAATCAATTCAGTACAGTCAAAGGAACACATTGCTGGGAAGGCCTGGAGGACAGAAAGATGCAAAGAGATTTGAGGCAAGTCTTAAAACTATTTTAGTCCCTCTCAAGCAAGCTCCAGAATTGCCCTAATGAAAAAAAACAGCAACAAGAAACGCAAGCTGTGATATCCAATGCCTCTACAAAAGGCAATCAAGTAAGTTTAGCCTGAATTGTAGTGTTTTAAACTGCAAGCTTTTATATTAGTTTTCAGAGAAAGGGTTTGCCCTGCAAGTTTGGGCACTATGGTGGACAGGATTAGTAAACTTATTTTGAAAGACCCTAGCACATCTGCTCTCCTTGCACATCACAATATACTACAAGCTGCCTGCCTTAAGAATTGCCCAACTTAACCCTGGAAAAGCACAAGAAAGGTAAACTGATTTATCAGTACGATTTACAGACGGCAGAAAAGTGAAGACATGCAACTAACCTTAAGTAGCAGTATTATACTCAGGATTTCAAACTCAGAATCAGGATTACCCTTACAATTATCCTCCCCTCCCTACTTCACCCTCAAAAAAACAAACAGAAAAAACATCAAAAAGCTACACACTACACACCTAACACCACCCCATCCCACAACAGATTTTCTATTCAAATCCTCTTTACAGAAGCTCTGTAATTTTCTGTAACATGCAGCTTTCCTCAGAAGCTTTAGTTTTTAAGTGAGATTTGATTATATTCAGGAACAATAGCAAATACCACTTCAGTAGAATTCTTTTGCAAACAGTACTTCAGTTTTTAACTCTTCACAGTATAAAACCAACCCCCCAAAAAGTTAGACATGGAAAATTCAGAGTGAAGTAATGAGTAACTAGTTTTGAACAAACAAACAATAACTCCAAGCAATAGTATCATCTTTTCTCAAAATGTTATACCTACTTTTTCATCTTTTTTGCATTGTATTTGACTTGGTAAGATGCCTGGATTAATTTGTCTGGACCACTGTCAAACTGATGTGGAATGACCTTTTGAAAGTGCTAAAAGCAATCAGAGCACAAGATTACATGTAATTAATAACTGCAAATAAACACACACCACACACATCTCTTAAAATATTACAATCTTAACTTACCTGTAACATCCCTTCCATGTCAAGTTGCAGTAATTCTGCTTGGTTTGTCTGAAGTAGTGCTAAACCTACTCGAAATACTATCTCCAAACCCTGTAAATAGAAGTTAAAATAATATTCAACAATTATTCACAGTATTGTCAATGCTGAAAGATGATTCTATTATTTAAGAACATTGGAAAGCTCACCCAGTTTCCCAAACAAAAGAAAGGGAAATCAAAAATCTTTAAACAACAGATTGATCCTGGGTTCCTTGTTTTGTACTGAAGACAAATAGTCAGGCTACTTGCCCTAACATCAGGTCCTCTCCAGAGTGCTACCGCACTTCACAGGAGCTTTATCAATAATTTTAAATACATTTGGTACTAAAATGTAATGAATTAAAAGAGAAACAAGGTACTTACTTCTCAAGAAAGGTATTTTTGTTTCAAACAAGGTATAACATAACTGAACAATTTAAACAGATTCAAGGGAATGCTTGCCTCAAGAATATCCTAGATACTATAAACGATCTGAAGGAATCCACCTCTGAGTTAGCGTTTTCTAGAACATTATGGCAGAGGAAAAGCATAAATGGATAAAAGCTTTGGTTTGTTACTTACATTCACCCAAAGCTCTAACCCTAGATACACCTTAGGCATCAGTGATAATTCCACTGAATAATTCCATAAGTTCTTCTGGCTACTAGCTATTACTAGCCATCTTCTCAACAGGAGCAGCTCTTCTATACTCCCTCCTCATCATCTGCTTGTTCCCATGAAGCTTTAACGTGGGCCCAGAAGATTTATTTTTCACCCCAAGCTACTGAAAAACAGATGCCCTGTTGCACAATGCTATCACATGGCATCCAGAACTTCTGGCAGATACGATGACTCTTCAACAGGCTTAGACTATAAAGTTGCTTACAGCATCTACACTCAAATATGTACTTGCTTTTCCTTAAACTACATGCACAATCTTCCCGTACCAAACAAGTGATAAACCTCCAAAGGCAGGGTATTTGAAATTTGCCCATCAGAACAGTCTTCACAGTACTACTGAAATAGCTGCTCTTAACCATTACTCTTGAAGCAGAACATAAGTATTGAGTAGTTACCTCAGACATAAAGATATCAAATATTCTTGTTGCAATTGGTAGTGGAAAAGTTGTAAGAAATATAGTTAAAAACCATGATGATGCATACATAGAAGTGTGGAAACTCTGAGACTGAAAGTGCACATAAAGTTCTGGAAGATGCTCCTGGAGAAAAAGATGAGAAAAAATGTATTTGTTATGGTTTTGCAAGTGGTTTTTATTGTGCAAATGGCTCTGACATATGGGGAAAAATAATTGGCATTTGCCTCAGCCAGCAGTTACATAACACATAACCAGAAGAGATATCACTTGATATGGATGTGAAAGTTTATCAGTATGAAAAACCAAGCAGCAGACATGGCAGTATTACCTGTAGTATTTTTACACTGCATGGCAGAAATGTAAACATTTCCATACCACAAAATTAAGCCTACTTGTTCCTGTCAGCCCAACTTTTCTTTTACTTAAAAAAAAAAAAAAAAAAAAAAAAAAAAAAAATCAGCTGTAAATCGAGTACAAATTTGTAAAAAGACATTTCAGTCTTAAAATTCTCAATGCAAGATTTACAATTCATAAGCATGAAGTACAGCAACACAAGTCCTCGTGACATTGTCAAAGGTTAAAAAATACATTGTACAGACACAGATTTTCTCCTGCAGTTTTGAAATCAGCTATTGTCAAAGAACAGTCTATTATCAAAGACAAGCCTGCTCTTGAACTGCAATTTCCAATTTCATTATTCTCAGTTACTGAAAAGCTTGATAGACTTTGCATATACCTGTATCATGCACTCAAACTGGTACATACAAAGGCCCAGTTCAGCCATGCTTGGTTTGAAGAGTTCTCGTAGTCTGTAATCTTGCATTAATTTAACAAACACACAAAACGCTTCTTCTTCTGGCATCTATATCAAAAATAAAAACAAAAGAAACAAAGACTCAGGAGAAGCATAAGGACAGAATGAATGTCTGGGGAGACAGTGTTTTGCTGTTTCTCTAAACAAGGAATTTATAACCAATGATTACTATTGTAGTTTTCCTTGTATATGCTGGGTCCTATCAAGTGGCTTCTAAACCGAAATGGAGGTCTGTAAACTTCTTACAATATAACCTGGTCTATAAAACTGAATATTAATACAAAGACAACTTTTAAAATATGACACTTGTGAAATCCCAGTTAAACTGAGAGGAGGTTCAGTGTAATAGATTTGGAATGACTCATCAGTAGCTGACATAACATGCCCTAGAGTAACTTGCAAGACTGGGATCCCACCTTAGCTTTAAGAAACAAATGTATTCTCTCACTCAGAAAGTTTGTAGCTTCTTGACAAAACACAGAAACAGAGAATGCTTTCATTTCATATGCAGAATAAAAGACAGCCCTCCACTATTACATTGTAACAAACAGCAATAAAGAATCACCACAAAAATTCCTTCCAAATCATTACCACACATCATGCAATCTAGCAGGGATTTTCAAGGTTCATATATTTCTTCATGTAATGTTTACCTGCATAAGTAGTAATCCAACAATAAAAGCACTTCCTTGACAGTATCCAACTTCACGATCCACCAAAGAATAAGCCTACAAAATAACATCTTTAAGACTCCAAACAATTAAATCCTCATTACTAACAAGAATTTATCTTAGCTCATGCTGTTATTTTGGTAACAACTTTTGTCTTGCTCTTCCAAATCCAAAGCAAACAGACACTCCATACAAAAAATTTGATCAGACGTTTAGTTGCTACCTGCAGCTACACAGAGACATGAACTTTGCTCTCTGTTGGCCTTCAATGCATTAATGGACACCTAAAAAAGCCTGCAGTTCACAGGAATTTGCCAGGTCTCAAAAGATAAGGAGGCTTCCATACCAAACGCACAGGCTTACTACATCTACAGAAGATTTGACAAAAGAAACAGTCTGTTTCAGAACAATTCAGAGCCGTAGCTCTATTTACAGGTGGTTTCCACACACATAGCATGTTTCCATGCATATTTTAGAACTGGAAATTACTACGATTTAGAAAAGTGCTGACTTCTCTGTTGAAGCTACATGACCAAAATTTAAGCTCTAGTAGAATGGGGGCAATACAGTGACATTTTATGGCAATGTTATTTTGTGCTTGTGCACTAACAACTGCACATTATCTTGCACCTACTGTTTTCTTCTCTCACACACAGGCTCACCAACACTTGAAAATGAAATGCTCACTTTGATTTACTATGTTCTCACCTGTCAGTATTGATAATTCACGGCACACTTTTCTCCATTACGCTAACAGCAGCTACTATGTGAAATTGCTTTAATGCAAGTTAAGTAAGCAGATGATTTAAATCTCTTACAAAACCATATTAAATAGGGATACAATATTTGAAAGCTATCTTTGAAATGTCATTTGAAAAGTAGAGTCAGTTTAAAAAACAGGACGCGTGAAATTGACACAACACATTCAGAAGGTAAATTATTTTCTAAACCTTTGTGCTTGCTTACTCTTGTTAATGTGTTTTTAAGAACAGAAATGCTGACTTACCTTCATTACATTAAATAAAACCTCCTGCCCAAGGCTGTCTTTCTCCTTAAAGAAATCATGCTCTGGATACGTTCTAGCAATGTCCCTTCTTATTAGTTTCTCACAAGGAGATGTCATTTTCAAAAGCTCTGAATACTGATCCTTTATTGGCATGCTTTGAGCACTACACAGAAGCTGCCAAACAATTGCTCTGAAATGATGAGGTATCCCTTTTCGAACAAGCTCCTAAAGCACAAAGATACAAAACCATTAACATTTCCTGAAAATAATACATTATGTCACAAACCAGTTATGAAGTTCATGAGGCGTAAGCCTCAACTGCAGCCTGATAGGTAATAAGAATTAATGATTTTATTATTTTTTTTTCCCCTTAAGTAAATAACCATGAAAAAAGCTGAATATTAAAAAAACATTTTCAACAAGAACTCCTCTGGGCCAAAGTAATAGTAATTTTTAATATTTCACAAAACATTATCGAAGAAAGTAATCTTAATTATATTTCTAGTTTTTAAGACGTAAGAAATCATTGCTTAAGAATAACTTGCAAGACAAGTAAACGGCAAAAAAAATTGAAACTAAATGGAGCGCAGACAACCAGAAAGAAGTGCACAAGATTTCTATCAGAAGTCATTTGACACACACGTCACAAAAAGTCTACTTTCTCTCTTGTGCCAGTATTTCAAATTTTTCTTTCATTTAAGGAAATATTTAAATGTGATTTCTGATGCTAGACCAAGAATACATAGTTTACATCAACTGAGCTTCCTTCATTTACCTGAAATTCCCTGAGGAGAAAAAAATAAAAATCAGCTAGTTATTATACAACTCAAACCTTCTCAGATCTATCTGAGATCTATCATTCCAAGTATGTTACTTGTCTTTTCAGAACAGACAAGTAAAAAAGAAGTCTTGTTGCTTAATCTGAAAAACTGAGGAGAAAGTATGAGTCAAAGTTAATAGGTTTAGTAGTACTTTCTGCAACTAGGATCCAACTACAAGACTGCCAATTCAAGACAAGAAGGTTCCTTTGTCATTGACAGGTTTGTTTGTTTGTGGTTACTTTTTTTTTTTTTTTTTTTAAGCTTTATGAACTATTATCAAATACTGTCTCCTGCAGGTCAGTTTATTTTATTTTGCTGGTATTTATTCTGAGGTCAGAATCATCTTCTATTCTACTCCTATTTGTCCAAGTACTTACCCTACTACTCCAAATATTAAGATAGCACTAATACTAACTAATCTTTTGAACTTCCACAGACACTCCTGCTTCAAATCATTTGTTAAGCCTGAACTCTACTGCAGGAGTTTTGCAGCACTATCTGCAGCTTTCCAACATCCTAAAGATCATCAGCTTTTTCCAGAACCTTCCTAGTAATGTCACCGCAACTGTTTGTTCAGATATGAATGTGACATTGAGTTATTTCCCAAAAGATGTCCAACTCCAAACCAACAAGCCTAAGACAGCTTTCCACTTTTATCTCTAGCTATTATGTCAACAACGCACTACCAGACTGCAGTTCAGTCACCTAAAGCCTCAAAAACTCTAAAAGCATAAACAAATGATTAGTTAGTAGTTCCTTGCATTATCATGCACTTGCTCAATCAAAATAACAAGGTTAATTCCACCAACACTCTTAGAGGAACACAGAAAAGTGGAAATTGCATCATCTTTCAGTTTCTCTTCAGAAACAGGAAGAGTTCAGAGAGGATCAAGGCACATGGACAGATCATATCACATACAAGGAAAGCATAGACACACATGACTAACGCTTCAGAAACTTGCCAAGTATCCAGTAATTTAAGACTAGCTTTCATAGCCAATACGAAATGAAATTTGGGCTGCTAAAATCATAACTACTGGCACAACCAACAACGAAGTATGGATGTTCAAGTATTCCAAAGTTTAGCTTGATTTTTGACAAACAAGCAAAAAAAACTCCCACATACCTGAGAATTATTTCACCATCGAAAAACCTCTCTAAAAGTACACTTAACCGACTAACTTTCAATAAATATTTATTCTCCAAACAACTCTTGACCAGCATGACACTTTATTTGCAAAGCCTACATGCAAGCAGTTCAGAAAGTGAATTCTATCCAATCTGATCTATTTATTACCAATCTGCTTCTCTTTGTCAGGTTCACGGGTCTTCTTTTCACAGCTTTTTGGGAACACTCTTCCAGAAACTGTTTTCCCTATGCAAGCATAGAGCCTTGAATTCATTTTCATCCCTTGTTTCCACTCTCAGGTCATGTTCTCTCTCCACAACTGCTTCACATAAAAAACACTTTGCTTTAGCCCATCGTTCTGCCTTCCCACAATCTATTCACAGACATGAACTTCAAACTATTCAAAAGACCCTGAAATTTGTATTCTGCACATAAAACTACAGACTAAAGCTAATAAAGAACCAAAACAGAATAGGCTGCCCACAAATAAAAATCCTACACTTCCAGTACTTTCTACCTCTGAAACGTGAATGTTAAATGCTCTAAACATTTTTTAATTTAAATATAAATTATTGTTGAATTCTGTTCCTGCACATGTCCACAATTTAGACTGGACATATACAGCCCAAAATTTCTCTAACCTTCTAAAACAGTTTAGAAACTGTTCTCTTCCACTTGATGTTATTCCTGGAGTCAGCAAATTTGGCCTGAACAATTGAACTAAATTTGTATCAGATCCTTATAAAATAGAATGATTTGCTCCTCTAATAAGAATGCTTTTAAACAGACGGTGTTCAGTAGGGGGAAAAAAGATATCACAGCATCCAGCTACAATATGATCTTAAGCAGGTTTTCAGTAACTCCACTTTGAAAATACCAAGTATGCGATTAAAGGGAATCTCTCATAATCAGACAGAAAGCTTTGGTATTCATGATATGCACCTGGTTTTCAATGAGTCCTTCGCCAGACAAAACTGAAGTATAACAACAGTTACATAAGAAGCACTAGGGCTTCAGGATTGAAATAGATACAATTAGAAGCTTCTCTTACTTGCTTATCTTAAAAATTGAGCCAAAAAGCTATCAAGATACAAATTCATCCTACAAACGTGTCCAACTACCTTAACTTGCTTTTCTTTCTTTTTCCGTACATCTTCCCATTCATTCACAATTCTCCCCCACAGGATCCACGAGTCTTCTTCAAGATGGCTGAGATTGCTAGAAGCTGATGAACTAGATACAAGAGAAGATCCACTATTTCTTCTTGACCCATTTACCGATCGCAAGGATTTGCTATCTGTTTCTAGGAGCCTGCAAAGAAACCACACACAGACACACAAAAACAACAAGAAACTACACGTTCTTATCGTGCTATTGCCACACTACTGTTTTTGTTTTCTTTTTTACAAATCTGTGCTTCCAACATCATTGCAAAGAAGGAGCACAGAGTGCCATCGGTACAGTTTTTCCAACATCCATCTGTAATAAATTTAAGTAGATCTGCTCCTTGTTACTATTTATAATCACTCAAGTATTTCTGCAGCCAGAATAGCAGATTACATTGCAACCTTTTAAGGAACAAACACAAGCATCACATTGTGCATAAATATCAGAATTGAGATTTTAATCAGTGTCTTACAACCTCCTGAACTAGATCTTAATAAAGTCAGGGAAAGTATAGAAGCACCACAAATCAAACTTCTTCCACACATTTACCAATTGGAGATTAGCAGCTGAACACAGAAGATCAGCAGGTTTTGAGGCAAGAGGGTTTGACCTTACCAGGAACACACACACACACACAAAAAAAAAAAAAAAAAAAAAAAAGGGGCTTTCATGCATTGAGTTGACAGAAAGAACACAAGCAAACAAGTTAAACGTTCTCAACAATCAATGAATGTCAGAGGTACTGGAAAAGACAGTAATTTTAAAGAAAAGTTGTCAAAAATCTCCCCATTAACACAATACACATTGATAATGTAAATACAGACACATAATAATGTAAGTTACAGTTCTGTAATGCCTGACTTATGCTGACAACTGTTCAATATGGTGTTTTTATAAATGGATGAGAAAAAAAACCTCAGTTCTAGCAAATGGGAATTGGGTAACAAAAGCTAATGGATGGATAAAGCCCAGCACTTGGATATGAGAACTGGGATTATCAGGCAGTGAGATTTATGTTCAGTAATTTTTCACACACTTGCACAAAATCTAAAAGCCTGGCAACATTTTAGCAACGTTGTATTAAGTTTTAAGTACATATTAGATCATCACCCTTTTACACAAGTCTTAGAGCACCTGCAGTTTAAGCTCCCAGCTAAGAGATACTTACATTAGCTTTCCCAGTGCCCAGCTTTCACCTATTGTTTTTTGATGTTTAGAAATCCTAATACCAACGCACAATGAAAACTTAGCTCAAAATTCCTTCTATTAGTGTGTCAGCGTCAAAAGAGCAAAGTAATTATTGATGAAAAATGAGCACAGAAAAAATACCACAGTTATAAAAACACGATGATTATAAAAGGCTCTGACTGGTTAATTACCACAGCTTTTTTATGTAAGTTTCACTAGATTTCAGTAGGTTGACCTTACCTGGATAAATCCATTGTCCTTGGATTTGAAAATGAGAAGTTCTTTACAAAGTAAGTAGTATGCAAGTTCCGTGTTGTTCAACAACTGATCTCCTTCACCTAAAACTTTATAAATGATTTACTAATGCCAAACAGTTACAACAGGACTCTGGACTGAGCTAACTCATTATTTTGAGGAGACTTCCAGTAGGACTGCATTACAGAATGCTTCATACATTCATAGCCTGATACAGTTCGAGTTTTTTCAGTTCCCAGCCTGCTTAAATAATTCACATTGTTCTTGTTCATGTTGAAGTCAAGAACATAAATTAAACCTTTACAAATACCCAGCACCAGCTATTGTTCCCTGCATTCAGTGTACAATTCCTTCTCACTGTGTTAAAATGCAGATTCAAACTTTCAAAACTACCGTGCACCCTCCATGATAAGAGCACCGCATTTTAATTTACTTCAAGTATTGGGTCTCACAAGGAAAGAACATTTGGTGTGAGATATCTGACAGGACAACCTCTAATCACAATTCATACACAAAAGTAAATGTGGGAATGAACAACAAATCTGTCTTAAAAAAATAAATATATTGATCAAATGAAAACAGATAAGTTAACCTAAATTGTACTAAATCAAGAATGCAAACCTGAAGAATAAAACCTAACAAGCCCAAGCTAACATGCTTTGAAAAAGCAAACTAACTTCACTCCAGGGCTTAATATAACTACTCTGGACGAACAAATCTTACGCCCTAACAAAGATAAGCAGTCCAAAGAACAGATACTGCATAAATGAGACCCTTGGTCATAAACAGAACAGAAAGCTTCAGATTAAATGCAAATTAGCTTTCTTAGAAGCACTCTATTTATGTTATACCTCCTTTTTTTCTTCTTTTGATACATTTTAAATGGCTACTAGCACAGCACAAATCACAGTACACCTTCAAATGAAAGATAACCCCATAAACCATAAGGAAAAGAGGACGACGTGGTTTAAAAGCTGACCTCCATTCTCAGTCATGAACTAGACAGCTACAATTTCCTTGGAAGTTACTTTACTATCAGGCAGCAGAATCAGAACATTAAGAGAAGACATGCCTGGAGACAGCTGGCATCACTACCTCTTCTCAGTTACAGGAGCGTACAAAGAAATTCAGGACAAACAAGAATGACTGATTAGGGATTTCTCTTTCATGAGATTAAGTCATTGCATACCTGTCACTGTTAGCATAACTGCAGCAAGCATCTATTATTCCTTGCAAATAAAAGATGCTTGAACACTGCTCTATCTGTAAAAATACGCCTCCAGCCATAACACTGAATAGGCTGCAAAGCCTCTTTTATTAGCTGTACCTGTATGAAATAGCCTGAGCTGCAGGCTAAATTACAGAATACAAACTGAAGAATTCTGCTCAAACCCTTAAACTGAATAGCAGAACAGCAACTTCTACTTTTCTAGAATTTCCAACAGAAAATCCTGCTCCATGTACATCATCACAGATAAACGGATAACACGCTAAAAGGCTACATGTGAGCAGGTTACACTGTGGAAATCGAGAAGGAAAAGAAGGGAACTGTGAGGTACTTCACATTTCAAAAAGCCTATAAAAATACCATCTTTATCTAAGGATGGGAGGAAGTTACACAATTCTCATTGCTATGATATTCCATTTCAGTTGGGATACTGAATATCGTGCAACTCCAATGCAAATTTCTAGAATAAGCAGCAGTTATGAGCACTTCTTTAAACCAGAAAGCCAACTATTTTGAACATTCTACAAAAACAAATTCTTCAAGAATGCACATCTCTACAACATTAATTCTTAACCTTGAAATTAAGGTGTTGTGCCATGAACAGCAACCTCCTTTAACAGTCTCAGTGTTGAAGCTACAATAACCCAATTCAATCTTATCACTATAGTCAAGACCGAGAAGTTTTGCATTTACCTGTTCTGCTCCTCAAGTTTAGCCAGTAATTCTAGGTCGTCTGGACTCAGCTGTGCTGGCGAGGATGGTGATAATGCAGGTGTAGACAGAGTGGTAGAGGAGGATGTAGTGTGTAAAGAGGCAGATGGACTTGCCACCTGACTGGCCATCTGACTGACAGTGTGTGATACAGTGTTCTTCACCCATGAGAGAGTAGAGCTCAGCTTGCCTGCAACCTTGTCTGTCGCCACCTGTGATGACAAGAAGAGGCTACAACAGCTGTGGGGTTTTGTTTTTTCACCTTTTCAATCAACTACTTCCACTGAACAGGGAAAAGATACAATATGCATAAACTGACATTGGGATTGTTTATTTCTGCAGAAGACCCAAAGCTGTCAGAAGCAATAAAAGCTGCAATGATAGAAATTCAGTATTACAGAAGAAATAACATGCAACTATATTGCTAATACACTAGAAAAATACAGAGGAATTTGTTCAACAGAACTGGTTTCTGCAGTACAGAAATACCACAGCTCAGTTCAGACTTCCCACTACAGAAAAAAAAAATCCACTATTTAAAATGTATTGAGAATTGAGAAGATAATAACAGCATAGGACACGCAGAAGGACAGATAAGGAAGCAGTCAACTACTTCATAACTGACAGAGAAGCAGCAGGAATGTATCAGTGTAAATCCTAAGCTTCGCTGATTGCTGTTCGAATATAACAGAAATCCTCTACAGTGTGAGGAAGAGGAACAGATGCACCACAATCCTGATTTACACCAAAGTACAGGAGTCCTTAGCATCTGCCAGCATGTAGAAAAAAGTTAAATTCTGTATGCTTAATATTGTCTCTGGAAAGCATAAACGCAGCAGCCACGCATACGTAAACAAAGAAAAGTTGCTCACTTTCAGAAGGCCTCCAGTAGGCAGGGATCTCCAGCAAGATGCCCCCACCTCCAGCTCACTGCCAGCCCTTAAATGAGGTCTGGGAAGGACTGGATCCTGGCTCCACCCCTTCCAGTCACCCAGGTGCATCGCATGCAGCTGAGCTCCTCCGGGTTGCCCTGCCTTCCACCAGGTGCTCAGCCACTGTTTCAAGCTGTGACTTAACATTTCTGCTACAGGCCCCCCCAAAAAGCACCTGAAATGTTCCACTTGGTTCCTGCACCACTTAGGTTTTCCTATGCAAATGCATAGGAAACATGCATAGGAAATGCAATACTGTCCTTGCCAGTATTACAATACTTAAAAAAAACCATAAATTTTTAAAGCTCACCTTGGAGATGCACTTTCAAAACTAAGGTTTCAACACCACTTTTTATAACATATACGGTAGAGATTTCAGACTCAAATTTCATATATTCATTAATATTTCAGCTTATTGCTATTGAAGCGCAAATTATTCATGTTTCATTTTAAGTAACAGATTTATAATACAGACAACACACGTACGTCACTTGCTAAGAGGACTGAGTATTTTCTCAAAGGTTTCTTACTGCTTCAAACATGACAAGCAACACAACTACTCCAAAAGTAAACATTGGCAGAAACAGGAACAATCTTAAGAATACAGCAAACAACTGCCAAAAGTCACACTTCTGTTTTGAGCAGATATCCACATATAAACATTAGAAAAGCACTGATTTAGAGTTGCACCCTGTGACGCAAACAGGGAGAAGTAAGGATACAAATGGATTAAATACTACAAAGCAAAGTAATTAAGACAAGGTGCGAAAATAAATCCAAGCTGAGTACAGCTTATGCAAGACTCACACTCTGAGTTCAGAGATCTGAAGTGGATGAGGAGGTAGGAAAAAAACCTAGAATTTACTTAGCAGCAGATCACAGCGCATTAAAAAGCCATGTAAAAGTCTGTAGGAATGGATTAGGTGAAGAATACTAAGAGAAGGTACAGTCAAAACTGTGCAAGACAGCAGTTAAATCAGCATTTTTCAGATGCTGAATTTCAAGTTAAATGTGAAAAGCAGAAAAGATAACCCACTACACCTGGGATGCACACCAAATCTAGAGAACCATTCAGCTGACCAAACCATTACTGATCATCATTATTTCTGCATGAGCAAAACCACAGCCTCAATCAACTCCGAGAACACGTTTGCTTCCCCCAAAAGGTCTCCCTTCAGAGCCTGCAGATTAATCGCACTTCAAACTCAGCTCCCAGCCCGCACCCAGGAACCCCACCAAACCACGTGGCTGGTACAGATTTTTGAGCACAGCACACAGGCTCTTGTTCATTGCTAGCTAAAATGCACACCTAATGGTGGAACTGCACTGAAAAATAGTGTCACTGTGCCGCTGTCGTTTCCATAGAAACAAACAGGAGGCATTACTTTCAGAGCAATCTATATACATGTTTCTGCAGACACTGAGTTTGACCTCTGCATTCCCTGAAAGAAACATGTATTAAAGCTATGGGTGTCTCACTTATCAGAAATGCTGTTTCAACTATTGTTGTTGTACGACAAAGTAAAACTAACTGCAAGCCTCAAGAAATACTAACGTTTTAATGTCCACTTTGTACATTTCATGTGCTCTCTACCCTTTCTTCTCTTCCTAAGGAAACAGAAGTAGTTCTCATACTACTCTGTATATAAAGAGAAAGTCTAACACAATTATGGTCGAAGAACATACATAGTTTTCAAGCAAGCTGTATAGCATTCCACAAACCCAGATCCTGCTTGCTTCAAGAAGTTAATAACATTCTAATACCGGAATAACAAACTGAACCGACTCAGTGAAGGACACAGAAGCAGCAGCTGGTGAATCACCCCATTTTCATGCCTCCTGACAAGCTAAAATCCTAGTTTAGGCCTCAAACATGGTTTCACTACAGGCTTCATCAGCATCTTCTATACTCCCAGTTCTTTCATTCAATTCAGATCAAGACTGAGAAGAATGCTGGTTTGCTCACATATTCTTGATTTTTCTCATATTATCACCTACCAATAGTCAGTAATATCACAGCTTGCACCTCAATCACCAACTTCCCAAGTCTTTTCAGTGGGACAAGTCCACTAATAAGTGGAAAAAAATGCAAGAAAGATCAACAAAGCAAAGATCATCCTTAGTGCCAGCGAGACACCAAAAACATTACATAAAACCCCCAAGTCTTATGATGATTGGTATGTACTTTATCACAGAATTTTAACTTGCATCCATCATTTTGTCTTTAAAAATATCTAGCAATTCTTTGTCCAAGTGTCTAAGAAATACTTGCTGAAGCTGGAGCCAAACCCTGGAAGTTCAATCACTAATATGTTCCAAGGCAAAATAAAAACTACAATAACATCGAGAAACATAACTGCTCTGCTTAATGAAATTTAGCTCTGCTGTTTCAGAGAACAGTGAAGTTGGAAATTCTTTCACCATGTCTGAAAGTAGTCTTTAACTAGTCTGCCATTCAAACTACATCTAAGCCAAGCAGCTCAGAGATGTACAGCTAAGTTCTTACATACATCACTTTACACAGTGATGTGGAAAACAACACTTTCCAAATGTTTGGTTGTGACTAGCTACTAGTTTTTAAATGACATAGCTACCATTTTTAAATGACATACAATAGTTTTTCCTCTCTTAAAGGTAACAGTAAGCTCGTCCCATAACATCCTGCTAGTTACAAGTGCACTGCCAAATTCTGATAGCAGCAACCCACTAGTAAAAGACAAGCTCCATCTGACAGACTGAAGAAACCGTATTTAAAAAACAAAACCAACCCACACCAGCATTAATACAGCATATAATACTGGTGAATCAGAGATCTGTGTCATTGCAATATTAATATTTTCCAAAATTTAAAAAAAAAAAAAAAATCAAGAATGTTTTATGATGTCATCAAGCAAGCATTTGATACTACACTACAGAGACAGACAAAATTTGTTCAGACAAAAAAATAACACTGGATAGCAGCTTTTGGCTGTTTCTCAAGTCAGGAACCAATACAAGCAGATTAAGTGTCCACAGTCGCTCTTTAAGCCAACATCTTCATTTTAGTCCAAAAGCCCAACCCTGGTACTGTACTTCAACCCCAAATACACAGTAACTGCCTCAACCCAACTTGGAAGGGTTAGTTTTACAGAAAACTAGCAAGCAAAGTTGACAGTTAATACAGCCTGTAGTAACAGCCGCTGCAGTGTCTCTCTCAACGTGACCAAAAGGCATTCATGCTCTTCACCGCTCAAATCAGAACAGGTATTTCCTAGGCTCTCCCCAGAACACTCCTTCCCAGGTAACTCAATAGTTTCCAGAGCTCTGAGGCTGTTAAACAAGTGAACAGCAATCAAGGATAAGCCAGACTTCACTCAATCACTTCCGCCTCTACCTTGTGGGCACGCAGCTTTTGCTAAGCATACATGTAAACAACAGGAATACCTCCCTGCGGAACGTGAGCTGAGCAAAGCTAAGTCCCCCTCCATTATGACTAAGCCACCGTCAGATGCCAACCCCCAGTTGTTCCGACCGCCACGTGCGGCAGAAGGACAAGACGCTCTTTAACCAAAGGCATTTAAGCAGATGACTACAATGAAGACAGTATGCCCCATTTAAATTAACCAAAAATTTACCAACAGATGATGTTGGTTTTCACAAGGTAAATAAGACACTGGGCTTTAATTCAGCATGCCATCTAAGAACACCATCACATAGTTAAAACCTCAGAGGATTTATTTTAAAAATCAAAATTATAAACTTAATGTATTGACTGTTTGCTTTTATATTTAAGTACACATCTTTATTATTAAAAAATTGGAAAAAATACTGAATTCAGAGTATAAAATGAAGGTAAGAAAAGAAGTTGTTCGAGCAAAGAACCACCAGGATTTTTTTCTTTTACATGACTGTTTATGAGAACACTGAATTAGCAAGATAAACAGCCCTGCTTTTTCAAAATCTACTTGAAGGGACTTCACTTCCCTCTTTTTTCCATTTTTCAAATACTTCTCCCTCAGTCTTATCCAAAGAAGCAGCTGACACTAACTATTTAAGCACTTCACTTTCCTCCACCCCTTCTCCTGACAACTTTGAAAAGCTTCTCCCACATCCTCCTCTTCACAAACTTCATTTCACCTATTCCATTCAGCATCTCCTGCTTACTTTCTCAAAACCCATCAGACAAGCCTACAGAAGAAAAACATACAGAAGGCAACGAAAAAAGACACACAAAGAATCCAATCCACTGACCTCTAGCTCAGGAAGTGCCTGAATCTCAGCCTCTCAGAGGAGATCTGAGGAGGAGGCAGATTCTTGTTTTCAGTTGTTCTTCTGCAAACATCTGCTACTCTCAGAGGCACTACTGGGCTGGCTGGACCTCAAGGATACTCACCACAGCTGTCCTCATCCCAGCTTAATCAAATTCAGGCAATGCTGATTCATAATAGCTAGTGTTTTCCGCTTGATCCTGTCCCCCTTTCATCATCCTCTATTTCCTTTCCTAACCCTTACATGAAATTGCACTTAGCTATCTCAAAATATCCTTAAATACTGATGTGTGTATGTAAATGCAGAGCTGTATAACCATGACCAGAAGCAGAAACTGGGGGCTAGAAAGGAAAATAAATAGATACATTTAAGCAAAATATCCACCATTAAAAGAAACAGAGTCCAATTACCTTATCTTTTAGCCACCAAGTGAATAAAAAAAAATGTTGGGAGAAAAGAGAAGTTTTCTGACAAACATTTTCAGAGATAAGTAAAACACACTAAATGCTGCCAGATCCCCTCTGCACAGATGTGACTCCTTCCTTCACCTCCTGTAGGCCACCTGTTACAAAAAACTGTCCCAGGACAATATGAGAATGTTTTAAAATTTGCTGTTCATTTCAGCTCATACTGACAATTCCAAACACCACACCAACCTCATGCAAATTGCTCTCTGACCACCAACACAGGAAATAAGCAGAAATTCCGTGTGACTACAGAACACCTTTGGATACCGAAGACGAAATGAACCCTAAATAGCCACAACACCATCGTCGACTTCTTGTCCTTATTACACAACCAAGTCAGTGCAGATGCAGCACGAGGTGTCACTAAGACAGACCTCTGAAGCACCCTTTGAAAACTCCTTCTCAACAACCACACACCCAAACGCTTCGGCTTAAAAATACCTCCGTAAAAACCCCGACTGAGAAAAATCTCCCTTCATAGATATACCCCCACGAGCGCACCGCAGACCAAAGGCGAGCACTCCTCCTTCTCGCCACCCAGCGCCGCCAGCCCCGCGCAGTCACGCTCTCCCCACTCGCACCGCAGCGCCCACCTTCCCG